AAGTTGTTTGATAGCAAGATAATTTGTAACAAGCAATTAACGGTAATGGTGACAAAAGTGCAGCAAGGTAGCCCAATCCTTTTGAGGCAAAGGACAGGCCAAAACGGTCTCTTATGATAAGCAAAACGTTCTTCAGAGTACATGGGAATTTCATCATATCACTTTCATCATGTCGGTTTGATTTGTGTTTGCTACTTTGATAATTTGATATGTAGGTGGACCGGTGCTTAGGTGATGTTCTTACTTGAACAAACCTCCTACTTATGATTAACCCCCTCGCAAGCATTCACAACTACGAGAAAAGTATTAAGATAAAATATAACCATAGCATTAAACTTTTGGATCCAAATCAGTCCCTTATGAAGTAGCACATAAACTAGGGTTTAAAATTATGTCACTCTAGCAACCCATCATCTAATAACTACTCCATAATGCATTTTCTTAGGCCCAAATATGGTGAAGTGCCATGTAGTCGACGTTCACATGACACCACTAAGGAAATCACAACATACATATCATCAAAATATCGAAACATATCAAGTTCACATGATTACTTGCAACATGACTTCTCTCGTGACCTCAAGAACAAAAGTAACTACTCACAAATAATAATCATGCTCAAGATCAGAGGGGTATTAAATAGTATAATGGATCTGAACATATAATCTTCCACCAAATAAACCATATAGTAATCAACTACAAGATGTAATCAACACTATTAGTCACCCACAAGTACCAATCTGAGGTTCCGGTACAAAGATTGAACACAAGAGATGAACTAGGGTTTGAGAGGAGATGGTGTTGTTGAATATGTTGATGGAGATGGCCCTCCCAAATATGGGAAAGTTGTTGGTGGTGATGATAACGATGATTTCCCCCTTCGGGAGGGAAGTTCCCCGGCAGAATCGCTCTGCCGGAGGGCAAAAGTGCTCCTGCCCAAGTTCCGCCTCGAGACGGCGGTGCTGCGTACCGAAAGTCCTCCCCTTATTTTTTTAGGTCAAAATGACTTATATACCAGAAGAGGGGCACCGGAGGTGGGCCGAGGAGGGCACAACCCACCAGGGCACGACTGGGCTCCCTGGTGCGTCCAAGTGGGTTGTGCCCACCTGATGTGCCCCCTCTGGTAGTTATTTGCTCCAATAATACTTAAATAATCCATAAAAAATCTCCATGAAGTTTCAGTTTATTTGTAGTTGTGGATTAGGTAGTCCTGGCGTGCTTTTTCAGGTACAGAATTCCAGTTGCCAGTATTCTCCCTTTTTGTGTAAACCTTGTAAAATTATGAGAATAAAGGCATTAGAATTACTCCCAAAAGCATTATTATGCATAAAAACATTATAAATAATAGTAGGAAAACATGATGCAAAATGGACGTATCAACTCCCCCAAGTTTAGACCTCACTTGTCCTCAAGCGAAAATCAAAATCGAAAAACATGTCCACATGCTTAGAGAGCGAGAGAGGTGTCGATAAAAACAAAATAGGGACATAGAAGCATCATGCATATTATTATAATAGCAAGGAAATTTAACACGAACTTTATCAAATAACTTTTATCAAATAACTTAACTATTATCATATAACTTCTCATGAACAAGTAACAATTTATCACAACATTGAAGTATAAAGCATAAACCTTATTGAAAACCAACAAACTATATTCTCAGTTAACTTTGCAACTATAATTCATCATATTTTCAGGAAGGGTCACGAGTCGGAGCCTTGAGGCAAGTCCACATACTCAACCATCATTTAATCTTCTATGGATCTGTACGTGGTTGCTACTCACTCCTATGGGCTCCAGGGAGCATTTGGCTACTGGGTGCAACTGATGGGAGATGGTAGCACGGGATATCTTCAACCGGTTTGGATGACGGTCGCATAATAGGATATGCCCTTAATGTCCTTTCATCTAGCCGGTTGTGGCTATGATTTATTTTCTTTGCTTTTTTCGTTTGTGTTCCCTTTTTGAGTTGTACTCCGGATACCAGACTTTGTGTTTTGCTGAACTTTTTAATAATATGGTCTCATGCATCTTTCGGATGTTGAGGCTGGGGGATAACCTCCTTTTCAAAAAAAAAATAGTTATCTTTTCTTTTTCTTGGAGGCTCACCCCCGGCCTCCGACTCTGAGAGGTGTCGAGCTGGACACCTTGTATCGACGATCGCCGTCTTAGCCATCAGAGAACCCCGCTTACAATCGACTTCCTAGACACGATTGGGAACTTCACTTCACTTCTTAAAATCCATGTCTTGGACACGAGAGAACAAGACGTGAGTGGGAGTGTCGAAATGCGAGCATATCACCAACATTCGCCGTTGGCGCGAGCCTCTGGGTGCACATATGCAATCGACGCCGGCCACACGATCCAAGAGTGATTCTCAAGGGATTGTACATCACTACTGTGGACCAAGTCTTTTTTTTTCCTTTCGCGAGGGGGGTATCAGTGTGTGTGGACCAAGCCTAACAGGTGGTCTTAGTACCCATCGCTGGTTCCCATCCAGATACAAGGAAAAAGGCCGTGACTCTTGTTCACTGAGATTGGAGGTCCCCCTTGTTCTGCGCAGTGCGCCGCTGCAATCACCGGAGGCTGAGTGCCCCATTGCACAACGAGCAAAAGTGCATCCTGCTCCTGTGCTGTGCTGTGCTGTGCTGTGCAGAATATTTCAGGGTAGGGCCGTTTTTCATCGTTGACAAGTCCCTTTCCGGTGGATCTACTGCTTCCCATCTTCTTCACTTTTACTATTAGCAATCAAGCTAGGGATCAGGGATCGATGAAAAGGAGAACAAGATGAACAAAGATTGAAGTCATGAAGTCCATTTTTGTAGGAAAGGACAGAGCATGATCCTGCAATAATAATATGAATCAAACCGTTTTTTTTCCAAATAACTGAAAATATTACGTGCGGCCGTCCCATCGACAAAGCCTACGGTCGGGCCAGTGGAAGTGTGGAACTAGCTACTCGACCGGTCCGCTCATCGGTCCGGTTCCGAAAACCATGGTACGCGCCCGACATCACCAACTAGCAGCATGAGAAAAGGGGGAAATGTGAACTTCCCGGCACCACCCGAGGAATTCGGACAAGTTGATGGGAAACAAAGGGGCTGAACTTTTTCAGCCATGCGGCAACCAAATCTGTCGATGCAATGCAGTGAGTGATGGATAGCTAGCTGGTGATGGGGAGATCTGGTGAAATGGCCTGTGATTCACTGGGGTCAAGATGTTGCTGCTGCTGGGCCTGGGCATGGGATCTTCCTCCTGGTTTTCTTCCCTGCCATCTCCTCAGTGCTCAGTGGGGGCTTCACGTCCATCTACCTGGGGCTGGGATACAACCCACACCCAGCTCACGCATGATTATGCCCTGGTTAATTTAATTATCCCCAGATCACAACCACATTTCTTTTGGTTCTTGTTCAGAGATGATTCATTCTTCACATATACTAAGTTCATCTGAAATGCTATTTTTTTCCCCTACTTCATCTGTATTTCTCATGATTTGCTCACTGGTTTGATGGGGAAAAGCTAGGACTTTTGATTATTATTGGCTATTAATAGGGACAGATCAGAGCAAACGGGGATCGGGTTGTACCAAGTATCATTCTATAAAAGAAACCATGGAGTGGTTTCAACTGAAACTTTTGCATCATCCCTTTTTGTGTATACAAATACAAACAGCAGCAGCTAGCCCAAAGAGATCATCACAATATCGATCGATCAGCCGGTAGTATATATATACGCACCTAATTAGCAACTATGGCATAATAATTGGGGCGCATGCCTAACCCCCATGATTAAGTCCACCTTTTCCTTGAAAAAAGAAAGATTTTGAGCTTTCAGAGTTTTGACATGTGAAATTTCAGAGTTTTGACTTTCATGGCTAGGAGTGCATGCATGCATGCAGATGCAGAGCTGTGAAAACCAGCTGTGGCTAGCTGATTAAGGGATTAGTTTAGTGATTGACTTTGGGGGGTTAATGACTGGTGGAATCTTGGCAGAGGGCCACCCCTACCTTGGAGGCAGCAGGTGGTGGCAGCAGCTGGTGGAGCATGAAGCAGCAGCTGGGTGAGTGAGTGAGATCTGGCTGATTCTGATTTAACTTCCCAGAGCACCAGGAGGCAACTGGGATGGCCATGGCCAGATCCAGTCAGACAGCCAAAGGACAAGAGCCAGGGGATTCCACATCCCACACCACCCTCCTCTGTTCCCTCTTCCCCCAATGAATTCCTTGGCTCCCTCAAAGGGACACCACTACTGCTTCCTCAGTAACCCTAGTGGTTTATCAGATGCTCATGCTGATGCTAATAATGCTACTAGTAACCCTAGAGAGATCTAGATATAGAATGAGAAGGAGCTGTAAAAATGGTGTTGCCAGAAAATTATTGGTGAAAAAACATAGTTATTGGTGAAAAGGAACTGTAAATTTTTATTTTTATTTTTATTTTGTGGGATAAAAAAGGAACTATGAATTCTTTTCAAGGAAAATTATTGGTGAAAAAGAGACTGTAAAAATTGTGAGACAAGAAGAGCATGTTACTAACAAGACTGGTCATGTATATTCACTGAGGGGTTACACAGAAGGCAGTAAAGTAAAAATTGGAAGAGAAAAAAAAAACAAGAAGTATTGTTACAAGATGGTGAAATGAGCCTCATCCTTCATCACTGGGTAAAGCCAAGTGTCTGATGACTGTCGCGCTAGCTGTACAGCAGTGACCATGGCGCCCCTTAGCTACAGTAATAAAAATCCCGGCCCCAGGGGCTCACTCCGCTTCCCCACTGACAAGAGGGCTCCGCTTCTACTATATCCTCCTACCCTTACATATAACCTAGGTAATTAACATCTTTTTTTTTCACATCACACTCACTCACTCGCTCTCTCACTCTTACTCTTACAATGAACGAAATCAACATCTTCTTCTTCATCATCAACAAAGTAATCAAGGGGATTTGGTTAGTCGTTGCCGTCATCATCGCCGTCGATCGCCGGAGGGATAAATGGCTGTTTAGAAGATGACGGAGATGCAGCGCCTGTGGCAGGCGCCGGCGGCCCGCTTGGTGGTGGGCTTGGTCTCCTCGCGCCACACCTGCCCGAGGTCCCTGGCGATGCGGACGGCGTCGGCGGACGCGCCGGAGAGCCCGCGCCGGGTGAAGCCCACGGAGTAGAGCCCCGACTGCCCCTTCCACCCGTTGGGGAACGCGGTGGTCGGGTACCCGTCCTTGCCGAAGAAGTCGGTGCCCTGGAGCCACTGCGGCACGTTGCTGCGGTACCCCGTGGCCATCACCACGGCGTCCAGGTCGAGCGCGGTGCCGTCGGTCAGCTCCGCCCGGCTCTTGGTGAACCGGGACACCCCCGGCACGACGCTGATGTCGCCCGACCTGATCTTCGCGAGCGCCCCGGTGTCGAGCACCGGTGTCTTGCCGTACTTGTTCTTGAGCGTCAGCGGGCCGATGGCCGGGCGCCGGATGCCGAATCCGGCCAGGTTGCCGAGGATGAGCCAGGAGAGGAACACCATGACCCTGTCCACGAACCAGAGCGGGAGCCACGCCATGAGCAGCGTGGCCAGCTCGAAGGTGGACTTGCCCATGACCTCGCGGGGCAGCACGTGCACGGCGTCGCGCACCACCATGGACGGGAGCGCGCCGTGGTCGCAGAGGTCGAGGGAGACCTCCATCCCGGAGTTGCCGCAGCCGACGACGAGCACGCGCTTGCCCTTGTACTTCTCGCCGGACTTGTACTCGCTGACGTGGGCCACCTCGCCGGCGAAGCCGTCGAGGCCGGGGATGTCGGGCACCACGTTCTCGGCGTTCTCGCCGGTGGCGACCACGAGCCAGCGCCCGATGTACTCCATCTCGCCGGACGCCGCCGACGAGGAGTGCACGCGCCAGAGCCCCGAGGTCTCGTCGTAGCGCGCGGACTGCACGGTGCTGCCGAACTCGGGCTTCACGTCGAAGGTGGCGGCGTAGGTCTCGAGGTAGTCGATGAACTGGCGGCGGGTGGGGTACTCCGGGTAGTCGGCGGGGAAGGGCATGCGGGGCAGCTGGCAGAACTGCTTGGGGAGGTGGAGCTTGAGGCGGTCGTAGGTGCGCTTCTGCCACAGCGAGGCGATGCAGTCCTCGCGCTCCAGGACGATGAAGGGCACGCCCTGCTCCCGCAGGCTGGCGCCCACGGCGAGCCCCGACGGCCCGGCGCCGATGATGATGGGCCCGTTCACCCACACGCACCGCGGGGAGAAGAGGCTGTCCAGGCGATCACTAGGGAGGAGCACCATGGTTGATGGATGACTTTGGTGGCTAGCTTGGGTGATCAGCTGTGAGGCTGGTTGAGAGAAGGTGGTGAGGATGCTGAGGTTGAAGAAGGTGTTTGTTGCTGCTGCTGCTGTTGTTGTTGCTGATGTGTTGTGTGTTGGTGGTTTGGGACGAGGGAGTGGTGGTGCTTAAATAGAGGGGAGGGGAGGAGAGAGGTTAGAGAGAGAGAGGAGGTGTGAGGAGAGAGAAAGCAGGGTGTGTGATGCATGATAGGTAGAGAGAGAGAGGAGAGAGAGAATCATGGAGGGAGGGAACAGATGATATTGGGGGGATTGATAGGATCTAAGTGCCATTTTTCAAAAACCCCAACTTCTTCTTATTCTTAGTTTAGTTTACTACCGGTATGAACTTCTCTCTAGAGAGAGATACACTGATGAGAGAGAAATTCGATTTTGGTTTTTGAAAATATTTTTTTCTAGAGAGAGAGGGAGAGGCAGGGGTGTGCATGGTGCAGCATGCAAGATTCTGGCGGGTGAGGGAGGACACATGCAGGGATGCGATTACCCGTGGAGAACATGCAGGAGGCCACCACCCGCCGGGGACGGCCCCTTGTTTCCAGCTCGGGGAGGCTCGGGGAGGTTGAAGAAGCACGCCGGCCGCCGCGCGCTTATCTGCTGCGTGCACGCGGCTGCATCGAGATCTGTGGATGCATGTCATGGGACTGGCATCACGGACTAATCTGGTCAATTAAGGGGAAACCATGCACGACGTCAAGGGTTAAGTATACTAGTCTCGTGTCATTAATTACGACTGCCATCTTACATGTGGGAGCAGCAGAGGAGGATGACAAGTGGGGCCTCGATGAAAACCGGAATGGACTGAACCAGCTGGAATGCCAAGTTAAATGTGGGGCCGACTAGTCATAGGTTCATATATAGCACACTGAAAAATAAAGGGAACGGCAGCCGTTGGGTTAAACTGAGTAAAACAGATACTTTTTGTTCAATGGGGTAAAACATGTCAAAACCCTAGAACCTGAGGGTAAAAATGGGATGAACTCTTTGTAGAAACCATGCATGACCCTGCCATGGCGGCTTGCTCCCGATCTTCGACGACGATTGTAACCTTCGATTATGTCATATAGGAATTTTACTTTTTCTGAAACCGACGTGTTTATCGTTGATGCTTGGTCTACTTTTTTTTCTTTTACGAAAAATTTATAGTTGTGTGGGGGGTTTAAGATCGCAATGAAATTTGTTTAGGGATTTTTCCTGAAGCCAATGTGTTCAGCGTTAATGCTTGGTTTTATTTATTATTTTTGAAAAATAATTACAATTGTGTAAGGGGGTTTAAGCTTGCAATGTATTTTCGGTAATTTCAACGGGGTACCAAAATATCAGTAACCTTGATTTCCTTGGAATTTAGTGGACACCAAAATAAACTTTGGAATTTCCAAGAATGCATTGTCCGAAAGGCTCGCACTTCCTCTTCGGAAAAAAGTTTGGCGTTCGTCCGAATATCCATCGCGGGTTCTAGGATTCGGATCCTCGCCGGCTTGGAAGAGCACGAACCTCGGCCGGCGGATCATGGAGGAACGGCTAGCACGAACAGTGTTTCCATGTGGATCAAATAGCGTGTACTAATAAGAAACTAAACATCAGCAAGGTTACAAGGAAAAAGCACACAAAATTGAGCACTTGTTGACATGCTGTTAAAGTGATCCACCTTCCTAGCCAGTCGCCGGCCTCCAAGTGGGCAAATCACTTTACAGTGCATCACCAGTACACGTACACACACGCCGGCTGCACCGCATGTGAGAGACCCTGTGCCTTTTGGCGCGCTACTCCCCACGGCTAGTTGATGATTAAGCTACGTGGAACCACTAATATCTTCACTCTCTGAGGATGAGCTCGCCACCTCACTCACTCGCTCACTTCACTGACACACCACCTTTTTTGCTTAGCTAAGCCATGTACATTAGCTCTTGTTAATTAATTAACTAATCGCCCAAAAAATTCCCTATGGCATAGCTAGCTCCAGCTAGTAACTTTTCTCCATCCTCCAATAAACTAGGAAAAGGCACAGCTCAAAAGCTCTCAGTTTGGCGCACGGCCGGCCCTTGTGTTCGTCGTGGGCATCTGTTATTCCCAAGTGGCCTACGCGGTTTACGATGCGCGTCGTAGGCTTTTTTGGAGGTTATAATCACAGTTTTTTTTTGTTTGGTTTGGTTTGGTTTAAAAGGTGGCATGCATGGGCACATTTGGTTTACACGGTTTACGGTGCGCGTATGCTTTTTGTTGAATGGGCATATATAATTTTTGGTTTCGCTTGAAAAGATGTGTGAAATATCCGTGTTTCGTTCGGAATATGGACATTCTTCACGTGTGGAGGTGTATTGTTTAGTGTGTTTTTTTATGGTAAGATCTTGCTTTTAGCAGCAATTTGACTTCCAGGCTTCATAGAGCCTGATATTTTGGAAAATGTACTTGGAAATTGAAGTCCAAAAAGGTGATACATAAATGGACTTTCTGCATAGTTGTATTACTTAAAATATATTAATTTGTAGGTTTAAAAGACAAATTTGTTGCTAAAAATAATAATAAAAGTTCCTATATTTTGATCCACACATTTGCCTTTTTTTGTGTGTGTGCAATACGGACTAAAATGATACAGTGATGAAAGTTTGCAAATACATACTACACATGTATGTGTTATGCATATTTTTCTATATATTTTAGAATTATATTTTTATTCTTTTACCTAAGTAGAGGCCAGTGTGACCTTGTCTCTATTTCCACACGTTACAATGAGATAAGCCGACATGTTAAACTTTAAGCCATGTTTTGACGATGTATGCCTATTCTAATCTATTGTTAGTGTCATGTTCCATATGGCAATTCTATTACAATATTAATGAATTACTAATACTTAGTTCACAAAGATATCCTTAGGCCTCAGTGGACCAAGCTTAGACACTATATTGCCTTGTAGATTTTGTTTATTTAGGTGTAAATCTGTTTCTATTGCTTAATTCTTGCAATACAATCAATCGGCTCACTCGATAAATCTTAGTCGGCTCATGCTTATAGCTAGAGATACTACTTTTGAACGGCCCACACATCGCTCTACAAGGGTGACAATGGTCGCGAACCCCAGCCATCAGCGACCCAAGTCCTCCGTTCTCGTCTCTTCCACACCGCCAGCCGGTGAGGCCCACACGACAACGACATTGGTGGCAAGGTCTTCCTCGCTAGTCATAGCATGGGAATCAGCATGTGGGCAGCTGTTCTCGTCCCCAGCCGGCAATGGCGAGGGCCACACTGGCGGATTGGGTACCGGCACAACCAAATCTGGCATGGAGTGGCGGTGACGGATTGGTCATTCACGGTGTTTCTCGTGCAACCGTTTTAACACGTTACATCATCGAGCATCATTCTTTGCGCAGTATAAGGTGGTGTACCATGTGGCTCCGTGCCCTCCCCTCGCCACTGCCACCCGATGTGGCGCATCCGGTGGTGGAGGCTGGTAGGTGTTGTTGTGGTGCACG